CATGGTGACACAATTCGTGCTTACCTTACTGCGAGTCATTCTCTGAGCTTCATCAGCATCATTGTGACGTTTTCCATGGCGACCTCGTGGTCCCTTTCTGGCACTCCCAGCATGTCCAGAGGAATGCTAAATGAAGCTCTACTTTCTTTTGACTAAACTGAGAGCGTCTAACCTGATGGCCAGAATGTTCACCATGCACGTCTTCCTCAGACTGCGTTATAGGCAAAGATATTCTTAAAGGAGGCACCTGAAATGAGTATGAACATCGTTAGAATAAACTAGAAAACTCAAACGAAGCTATGCTCAACATTTGTGTATCCGATCAGTGCGAGGATACCTAATAAAGATAAATAAGCATGGGTCACTTAGCAGAAAGACGCCAACTAGTACCTGGGGTTATGACGGACAGAGAGTCTTCCCCTCCCCCAGTTAGCCTCATGCTATGGCTGCATAGATGACTGGATCAAATGATACAAAAAGCCGCGCTTCAGTTTGTTTTTCCCACTTTACGTTACAAAAAGTATAAAGCTGTTCCAACGATTATCTCGTGCTTAGTACTTTCAGTCCCTGCAGCTCAAAATATGAGCTTCAAACAAGTTTGCGGTAAAAGAGGACTTCGACTAGAAGCACAAATAGTCTGAAAATGGTGACAAGCTTTCTGGGAAAAATGAATGCTGTAATCAGGAAAGTCAATAAGGACAAAAAGACTTTTGTAGAGGTGAATTACACTTACTTTTCTGTCACCAGCGCCATGCCTGGAACTCCCCTCGTCTTCCTCTACATCATCCATTTCGATGTCACCTATGAAAGCAAAAGCATGCGCAAAGTGCACAGAATCGCCGCAGCACTTACCCGAATGAGCACTTCCTCCATGACTCTCCGGACGACCCTCTGTCAGACGTTGTCGTTTCGCACTAGGTGGAGCCGAACACTCTCGTTCGTCGCGGTTTCCGAAATCAGTCTGGACTTGTTAGAATTACAGTAATTTAAGATTCAAGACGACAGGAAAACTCACCGGTGTGAATTCACTTTCTGGACTACTTTTGAACTCATAGACATCATCAGATGAAGTTACAGGAACGCTAGTACCAACTTCGGATTCAGCAGTGTCTCCGACACGTGACAACCCATAGCCTCTGCCTCGTTTGCTTCCGCGGCCGCGCCTAAACTAACTTTTTCTAAACTTTTCTAGACATGTAACAGTCGAAAATAAACGATTTTTATGCGTATTTTTAGGCTGGTTCTACAAGGTTGAAGCATTATATTCTTGTTAGATCAGAACACAATCACAAAAATAAATCGAATGCATGTTTGCATTCTAACAAAAAAGGCTCTAGAAAGCTTTCCAAAAATGTAGATTAAAAATCATACCATAGATAAGAAACAAGGTAACCAACCCTGCACGCTTCTTTTCTAGATTGACAAGAGGACTATTGTTGAGAGGGGTGGCACTGCCGCTACAAGGCCGAGTACCACCTCTTCCTCGACCTCGCGCGCCACGCCCACGAGATCTTACGCCACCACTTTCACTGCGGACTTCATCGCGAGAATCCTCGAGTTCGTATGCGAGATCGAATCTAGGTAATCCTTGATAGTCATTACTTGATATAAACGCTGTGCTTTTTGCATAATATCAAACTTTTCGCCAGGAAGAGGTGATTTCTTTTTCAAAACCCACCTATGCATTGGACTAGTTGGCGCAGTATCATGATGTTGTTGCTCGTCTGTAGGGCTCTCGAATTGTGTTTTCGAAGTACTTGAGCGACGGAAAGAATCTGGAGATTCCGAACGACGAAAATAAATGCCTTCCCTACCCTGCAACTCAAAATGATATTGTGTTACTTTTTTTATTTTCCCGTTGTCGCGACCAAGACAGTCTCATAATTTTCGTCAAATAGGAAGGAAAAAATGATATAATTTTTTAAAATGTTTTGGCTTCTTCATTACAGTCCGAGTCGCAATAACAGATAAGTACCTCTAGGCCATCTAGCTCAAAACTAGCCTCTTCGTGGAGAGGATCAGCCATCTGAGAATCCTCCTGCACCTCGGCGTGAGTAGAAAATTCGGCGGCTTCAGGGTCAAGTGCCTCTGAAATGGACATAGACAGATTTATGCAAAGACATTAGACATGGACAAAAACGAAATTTCAACACTTGATTAGTGAATGGCGACATACCTTCTGTGGACTGCGAGTCCGTTTTGGAACTCACTTTTCCTGGAGTATTGTGATCATCCTCGCTGGTTTTCAACTCATATGTACGAC